TATATATATATATGTATAAATGAAGATAAAAAAGTCCTACTTTGATTTAATCACTGTAAGATTTCAAATACGAGAAGATAAAAAATAATGTGTCCAAATTTCAAAGGAAATAAAATTTCTATAATAAATAATATTTTAATAAAATTTAAAAGAAATATATTAGCTATATATAACGAGTCTCGGATTTACGTTAAGCAGAATTTAGTGAATCCCATAAATTTAGATTTAACAAATTCATATTCAACAAAAAAATCACTCGCAAGTCAAATCCTTTAAAATCGTCTGTAATTCCGGTTTCACGAGAACAAATTCACAGAACAGAAAAATATTCCACTCAACAAAACCCATTTTTAGTTTTTAGTTGAATTTACATTTAAATCCATGTGTAAATCTGACTAAAAATAGAGAAAACAATCACAACAACAACCACAACCACAACTACGACCACCTCTAATTAGCTCCATACTAATTTAAATCCTATAATAACTAAACCCTCTTCTTCCCCTCCACATCTCCCCCTTCCTCCAACCATGACGACTTCCTCCATCTCAACCAGTCTCAAACAACCTCTCGTCTTCTTCTTCTTCTCCCTTCTCATCAAAACTTCCCTCTCCAGCTCTCCTCCACTTTCCCCTCTTCACTCTCTAACCACTAATCCTAACTCTTCGTCCCCCACCGCCGCCGACCGCCTCATCCCATCTTCGACCACCATCGAATATCGACAAATGGAAGCCAATGCTACAAAAGCTCTCAGCGGCCAATCGGCTTCCTACCACACTTGTAGACAGTGCAAATGCTGCGAAATAGATGACCCCAAGCATTGCTATATCTTACAGTGCTGTTATGAAGTAGCCTGCAATTCGCCAAATGATCCGCCCGACATGTGCTCGGTCAAGCCTATTTCTTGCAACTGTAACTCCTGTCACTGATTTCCATCATTAATTTCGGCCATGAATCATGCATGCGGTATCATGTATGAAAAAGTTATGCTTTGGGGGAATAAATAAATGATGTGATTTGTATTTGGGGGCAACATTATTTCTGCTTTTTATTGAAAGAGTGAAAGAAAATATGCAGTGATTCTCTAAGTATTGCTACATTGAAGTGATGGGAGAGATTCAATCTTTTGCCCTATTCTCAGTGAGCGTATATATTTACATTTTTTTTTGCTTATGTATTGAATGAATTATACTAAATATTACGAGCATGTAGCTTGCTCAAAATATGCTCGGGGAGAAAAATAAAATTAAGTCGATATACGTCTCATGACTCAACTAGAAAACCTCGTAGAATCATTTCAAATTAACTCAAAAGCTGACCGAGTTTGGAGTTTTTGTGCAAAATTGCCACCCTTACACTCCTTATAGGTTGACATATAAAAAATTTAAATTTACATAATGTAGTGCAAAACAATGAGGAAAACAAATCATACTAGTCAAACACGGTGTGATTTACATGATTCGGCGCAAATCCACCTATTCATAAGGAGGGATTATTATAGTATCAACCAATGAGAAAAAGCATAAAATTCCATGGAGAAGCATAAAAATGACACAAATAATATAAAAAAATTATATTGAAATAACATGCACATTTGATACACATCAAATTGCAGCAGCATGTCGCCGGAATTGGATCGGCCGAGCTCTGATAACAATTATTATGCAAAACAATACGAAAATAAAATCACACAAAGAAAAAAAAAAATCAAATATGCTATGATTTACATGGTTCAACGCAAATCCCCTACGTTCATGAGGACAGGTCACTCCACAATCAACAAGTGGGGAACAAAATACGGTTAAAATAAGCTTGTAACTCCACACACTAAAATCAAACTTAATCCTTCTATAGCCAAAATACTTGATTTTGAGATCTAAAAGTCTGAACAAAATCTATTTGTTTTGTATTGTAGTGAAATAATGAAAGAACTCTTGGGAGGATCTAATGTCACAACAGTTGCATCACGAATATGGATTGTTCCAACGATCTCTTTTTGTTTTTCTTTTTGCAAATCTTCAAAAGACTCAATAGAAAAAAGAAGAAGAAAAAATAGGAAATCTCATGAGAATCTCTTCATTCCAATTCACCAATGAAAAATGAAAGAGTCAAGAATGAAATAGATAGGGATAGTAAGAAGAATTTCCATTTCGAAGAATTACTATTTAGAAGAGTCAGAATAGCTTCAGTTTCTAAGTTCAAAGTGAAAGAGTCTTAGCCTCTTTATTCTATGAACGAACAATTACCAATGACATTATCTGCCTAATCTATAATGATGCAGATCTTTCGCTTGATTGTTGCAATTAAAATTTTATTTGACAAGAACTTCACACTTAGTTTATAAATGCTCAAACATTGACGTTTGACATCATATTTGATTTTTTTTTTTTTCATTAAACCTCCATTTTTGAATCGCTGTGTCTCTCTTTTATTAGTTGTTTTTCCCATATATTCAGATAAGACAAATTTTTAAGAAGCTCTATATAAATATTTTCCTAACTTTCTGTTCCTGTTTAAATTAATGTACATTAGGACATAAATGGCATGAAAGGGGCATTTAGATATATATGTACCACCCAATTCCTATCTATTTACGTATCTAACACACAAACTTTGTTCTTTACGTTTATACCACCCAAATTTTGATATCACATTAAAAATACCACCATTTCAATTTTTAAAAAATAAATAAAATACACTTTTTCGTGTCTAGATAAGGCGTTATGTATGTAAAAAATAAAATTTAGGTGTTAGATATGTAAATACATAGGAGTTGGGTGATATACTGATAAAAATGTTAAATGTTGTAGCCGTTGGACCTAATATTTATGTAAGAAAAATAATAAAATTTAAATTAATTGATTCATTAATTTCCATATAAACTGCTGGAATCAAGCCTGTGATTAAAATATAGAAGAGTCTAATCAAATAATTAATTAAGAAGCCTTTTGACTGCTTTACCAGGCTGAATTATCTGAAATTAATCCAGAACTATTTTCATCTCACTAACCCACTTAAATTTGGCACCTATCAGTGAATGAGATGGTGATGGTTATGTCACTATAATTTTGTTTATTTTGTTAAGTATCAAAAAATTTGCGGATAACAGTGAGCGAGATGGTTATTTCATTATAATTTCACTTAGATGTAGTATGAACATGATTGTCCTCACGTACTTACAAAATATATAATATTTTCTCGTCACCTCCGCAGGCCTTATATGTACAAGCCGACACTTTCTGCAACTAGGGCTGTCAAAAAAGCTCGTTGTTCGCGAACAGTTCGTGTTCGGTTCGTCAATGAGTTCGTGTTCGATTCGTTCGATAAGTAAACGAGACAAACGTGAACAAATTTTTTTCGTTCGGTTAGTTAAACGAACCAAACACGAACAGTGATGCGTTCGTTCGTGTTCGAATCGTTATTGTTTGAAATATAAAATAATATAAAATAATTATATATAAAAAATTTATTATATTTTAAAACATTAAATTTTATAAATTATAATATATAATAAAATAATAATAATAATATATTAATATACTATAGTAGTAATATACTAATATAGATATTGAATATTTATATAGTATAAGTTATATAATTAATATATAATATTATTTTTATATATTATTCGTATTCGGCTCGTTCGTTAAGAAACGAACACGAGCTTATTTCAAACAAACTAAATTTTAAACGAACCGAACACGAACACAAGCTTTGTTCGTTCGTGTTCGGTTCGTTTACACCCCTATCTGCAACTTCTTTTTCAGCTTCTCCTCTTCAAAAAGAAAAGGAAAGCATGGATTAATTGAAACCATCAATTTTGCTTCTAAATAATCATTTTAAAGGAAGAGCATTAACCACTTACTCGATTTATAGTTTTTATTTTCCTAATTCTTCAACATTAACATTCCTTTACAATTACGCATTAATTACATTCTTTATCTTCATCATTCACTCATAATGTCATTAGAAGAATGACATTACTTTCTATTGCATTTTTGTAAGTAAAAAAATGATTCAGGGTGTATATATTAAATTTATATTGGACATAGTAGATCAATAATCTTATGGCTCATTCTTTTTAGAAATTATATCAGGACATTCATTGCATTTTTTCTTCTTTTTCAAATTGCAGCAACATATTTTACATGCAAACTACACTTTACTAAATATAACTTCTGTTTGGAGGATTTTAAAAACATATTATAGACTTTTTTTTTCTATTTAATCATCTAATTAACTCTTGAATAAAATGTTGTTTTTGGTGTTTAAGTCCCTGCTAATGATAGGAATTTGTTCATATGCATAGGCTGTCACAAATTATCAACTAAATTCTATCATCCAGTAAACAAATTCATTCAAACCCTACTATTTATAAGCTGGAACACCAACACCTGTCCAATATATAAATAGTACATGTTCCGTAATTAGCAAGTGTAATGCATTCTTAGATATATTCTATATACTTGATTCTCTGCTGTCTTCTTTCCATTCTTTCAGTTAAGCTTCGATTCACAGTTAGTACTTCCACAAAACCCAATAAATTATTGAATTATCAAAAATAATATTGTATTACAAGAAGATTTAAACCTTCTTAAATAATCATACCACACCCTCCATCTCAGACTCACTCCCTTTCTATTCCTTCAAACATGGCCACTCTTCCCATCTCAACCATCCACAAACTTCCTCTTCATCTTCTTCTTCTCTTCTTCTCCCTTCCCATCAAAGCTAACCTCTCCAAAATCATGGATACATATCCAACCTCTAACCCTAACGACTACTTTCTTCCAGCTCCGACGACCACCGAATACCCACGAGTGGAATCCAGCGCCATTGCAGCGCTCGGCCACTATGACACCAAAGCTGCTTATCGCACGTGCGCTGATAAGTGCTACTGCTGTTTACGTGACGACCCCAAGACCTGCTCCTACATGAAATGCTGCTTCGGCATAGTCTGCAACTTGCCCGGCAAACCTTTTGGGTATTGCTCCTTCATGCCTTTGTCTTGCTACTGTGACTCTTGTGCGTGAATTAACCCATGCAATTTTCACAGGTTTTAAAGGTATTATTATTTTTAAATTTATATGCCTCAAAGTCATATACGAAGTAAAATCTTTCACATGACGTAAGCCTGGCCATCCAATTTATAAAATGTGAAGTACACCTTTTCATGCATAGGTAAGGTGATATGTATGAATTGAAGTTTATGTGTTAGACATATATGCAAATACATAAGAATTGAGTGGTGTGTATTCAAATCTTCCCTTTTATTATCTTTTGTATCTAATCTATAAGGGTACAATTTTAAGAGATCGATCACTAGTTCTATGTGGTTATTATATATCAAGAAATTATGATTGATTTTCATTCAAGTCAATACTTTCTTTGAATGATTATATCGAAATTCACCACTTGCACTTGAATGTTGATCTCCCTCTTTGTACAAGAAGACCTAATAGAGGCTAGAGGGACAATTTTGTACAATTACAGATATGGTAATTAAGTTGAACCCATTATGACTGGTGTTGTAGTAAGCAAGTCATATTATGCTGGAAAGTTGTTCAAATGAAAACTAGTTGATTAGCAAGTACTTAATATGTATAAATTCTTACATGTTGGTGAATTCAAATATAAATAGGGAGTCATTTCTAGAACTCAAAAATAAATCGGGGGTCATTCTATTGTTTTACATTTTTAAAAGAAGATTAATTTATAATATCGAAGTAATTTTTTAAAAAATTACATTTCTTATATTTATTTTATAACCTTTTTTTTTCAAAAATTTATAACCATCTAAAAATGGACATAAATTGAAAGGAATTAAGAATCCATTGGAGCAATTGCAGTTATTTATAAAATGTATGTGATGCTACTATAAAGGTATGAGAACATAGAACTTTAATTTTGAAGAAGTTATATTTTCTTATAATTATCATGTATTTAATTTTAATAAATAATTTTATTCTTATAAAGTAAAAAGATATATAAAAGCTATAACCAAGAAGAATTAGTTATGACAATCTCTTTGGTTTTAATAAATTAAGACTACAAATAGAAAGTAAGGAATTGAGGCATTTTTTCACCCACATTTTTTATTGATAAGAAAAGATATTATTTAAAAAATTTTAAATTAATTAACGAGAATTTAAATTTATATTTTTTTTTTTGTGAAAAATTAGAAATATGTGAGTCATGATAATTACCATTTAATTTTATTTTTATAGTTTTTTTCATTATAACTGAATAAAATATAACAAATAAAAATGAATTTATGCATATTTTTTATGGTATTTTCTTACCTTTAATTAAACTGATACAGATAAAATATATTCATGAAGCGTTTGATTCAAATATAATTAATGAGCTTTTAAATTCTCATAAAATTATAGTACATTATTCAATGTCATTTACACTATTTAATTCAAATAAAAGTTTTAAAAAATTAACATTATCATCTCCTCACAAAATAAAAGGTTAATTTCTCATTACCAAACAAAAATTAATATATATATATATATATATATATATATATCTTTGTAAGAAAATGTCTTTCTTTATTTCATTAACTTTCATTCCAACCACAAAAATAAAATTGAATTTCAATCCAATTCCAACATCATTTTTGTTTCAATTTTAATTCCATTAATAATTTATTTTATTCCTTCAAAACGGAAAAAAAAAATCTCATAAGTCTCTGTCCTAAGTATTAAAAAATATTACCGGCACACCTCCAACAAATCTCAATTATCCAACACGAATCTTGAGGCATAACCCGGATTTTGAGATAACTTTTTGAGAAAGAAATATTCAAACATCGCTCAAAAGTCAACTAGAACTCCGATTTCAGCAAACTTACAATCAAACTAACCGACTTGATGAGAAGAACTCAATGTTACCAAAATTGGTCAAATTCGAAGCAAATCAAGCCCAAATCAAGCCATTAAACCACTTTGACAGTTTTCTGGACACATTTGAAAGATCTGACGAATGTCGATTTTGATGAGTCTATAGACAAATCGAGCGTCTTGACAAGAAAAATCCAACAAGGTCAAGATCACTCAATTTTGACATCATTAAGACACTCAAATGTTCATCAAATGTCGTTCGATCGAATGAAACACTTTAAATCATCCGATCAGAGAAATTCATATTTCTGCATTAATTGCGCCCATAATTAAACAAATAGAGCCCCACCCCTCTCATTAGTAGGGGAGGAGAGTTTGAGGCTTGAGAAAAAAAATTAAAACTGTGAGAAGAAACTGAAGTCTAGCACAACTCTTGCCGCCGTCAAACACCTCCAACCGTCTTTGACTATCACCGACCACGGCCGATTGACGTCGACCACCATCAACTGACTTCAACCACCACCGACCGCCTTTAACCACTGCCGACCTCTGCTGACCGCCATCGACCTCCACCGACCGTCGTCGATAACCATCAAAAGCCGCCGACCACCATCAACCGACTTCAACCACCGCCAACCGCCTTTAACCAATGTTGACCACCGTCGACATCTGCCGACCGCCGCCGACCTCTGCTGACTGTCTTCGATAACCATCAAAAGTCGACGACCACCACCGACCGCTGTCGATAACCATAAAAAACCGCCGACCACCGCCAACCACTGCCAACTGCCAATTGCTGTCGACCACCACCAATCTCCGCCGACCATCGTCCACTATTGTCGATCATCGCCAACTACTGTCGATCACCACCAACCGGACGTTGCCAATCTGTATCGGATGCTACCTGTCGACGTTGTAACTCGGGAAACCAAATAATCATTTCCTATTTGTAGGACAAGTTGTTGCAATTGTAATCATCTTTTTATATTGAAACTTTTCCGCTGGGTCAAACCCTGTGGTTTTTCCCTTCTAGAATTTTCCAAGTAAAAACTCCTAGTGTCATTATTAGTTGCTTTATTTTTTCTAAGTGTGTGTTGAATCTTTGTATCACATTAAGATGATAATGTGCAACTCCATTGCCGCAAATTTTCTAGCTCGTTTCAATTACGTACGGAGTTCGTATGATGCAGATTTCTTTTACAATATTATTATGCACTTTTATACAACATGTATATAATGATATCAATATTATCTTACATGAAGTTTACAAGCATAACAACTCCCCACATAATGAATTTTTCCTATCTAGATAGAAATCCTATTCATTCACCATACGAAAAGACTCCCAAAACACATCCGCAGCCTAACATCACAGAATTCCAAACCCAAATCAAATTCTACTCAACTTCTTCCTCCTCCTGTCTTCTTCTTCTTCTGTTTATCAGAACATATCAAAGATCCACCCAGACAAAACCATGGCTGCCAAGCCGACGATAAGCACAGCAGAATCATGGACAGTTTGGAAGAAGTCCAGCATGGCTTTTGTAGGTACCGTTGGCTTCTCAATATTTGACAGTCAGAGGAAGCTTGCCTTCAGGGTTGATAACTATTCTAGGGGAAATAAATATTCTCTTGGAGAGCTCCTTCTCACGGATGCGGTTGGAAGGCCGCTTCTTGCTCCCAAGCCTCAGGTACGTTCATCAACATCAACTACTCTTCATCATTACTCAATTTGTATGACTTATTTAAATCTGTTTATTACATAAAAAAGAATTAAATTTTAAAAACGTATCATATACATAAAAAATAAGTTTATACTCATTTATTTATTGATGTTCGATTTTTCATTCTTTTTAGATTATATATATATGTATACACGCGCACCGCGTACTCAGATCAATTGGTCGGGTATCTGTTTATCATTTGTAATTCCCCTCTAGTTAGAGATTCAATTTCCCGTGACTGTAGGGTGTGGTACTCGAATTCTTAGGCACATGAGGGAAGGTCAGGGCTCGTAAAATAGCCTCAGGCCATTCGTTTTTGAATATATATATATATATATATATATATATA